GGGGGGGGGCGTTTTGCCGCAACTCCACTAACCGTCTCGTTCCGTTCAAATAGCACGACTCGTCCACCCTTATCACCAGTCGCCAAGTAGTTTCCGGTGTGGTCAAATTCTACCGTGGAGATGATATCGGCTGGTAAAGGCGGGTCAGTATGGCTGAGGGTATTGATGACGTGAGGAGGGGCATTGACGGGCTCCTGGTCGAGGGACCCGTCGTGGGAGGAGGGGTGGGTCGTACCTTCGGTGATGTCCTCAACATCTCCCTTGTCGCCGAAGCATCTATGACAAGATCTCAGTACGATGAAGTGGGGCAAACGCAGGAAAACGAGGCGACGTCTCGTGTAAAGAAGAGCGTTGACGGAGAAAGGCGTAGGTCAACGTGGAGCGGAGATCGGATCCAGCCGCGGGCGCGGGTACGGGCACAGGGACAGGCACGAGCGCAATCGCACAGAGACGGACGCTCGCGAGGCAGAAGTCGATGGGGATGGATAACAAGACGGAGGGTCAAGGAGGAGTTCGACTTACTGGGTAAACTTCCATGTCGGAGAGTTGGTATCTGTTTCCACCATCTTCAACAATTCCCGGGGCCGTGGGCGATGAGATCCCCACCTCTACCAGATATGGGACAAGGGCGACGAGCGGACGGAGGGACAGACGGGCAACGACGGCAAGGGACGACGTTCTCAAGGGCGATGATGGACAAGAAGAGATTTCACGAGCTCGAGGCGCGAAATCAAGGGATGGCGGAGAGACGGGAGTGGGAGATCTGGAGAGAGGTGCCCAACAGAGACCGGGTTAAAACACGTGGGTGCGCTATGGATGTTGTTGCAGGGAGCATATGTATGGATGAAGGTAAGGGTCGGTCGGGTAGGGAAAGACGGGAGGAGGGCAATAAGCAAACTTGGTAGGTGTTGAGGTAAGGTATGTAATGTACCTGGCTGGTGGGCGGTCGGGTGTGGTGGAAGCAGAGCCCGACCCGAGTGGTAGTAAGGTACGTAGGGCGACGAAAGGGAAGCAGACGGAGGTACGCCGGTAGCGCGGCGAGGTACCTACCTAGGTAGCTGGGCGGAGGAGGACCTGATGGGGCCCGGGATGGAGGGTGTGAGGCTCAACGGCCAGACGTAAAACTAAGTAGTAGTGCAGCGAAGCGATTGAGGTGCGAACCTGAACCCAACTGAGAGAGTGTTTTTTGCCGCAGCGACGAGACCTGGACAACTGAAGACTGTGGGCGCCGACCGAGCGATAATCTGTCGTTGCTTCCTGGGAGCTGACTACCTCTACCTCTGGACGTGGGCCGGTTTCCTGTTCGTGCTGCAGGTGCGCAAAGCCAAGTGAAGATGCGGGGTACGTCAAGCCGAGTGCTGTATGCGGATATGGCGTAAAGTGTTGTTGGTGAAGGGTCAGGCTGTTACCTTTGCAAGATTGAGCAAAAGACGGATGGTGGATGGAGATGGAGATAGATGGGCCGAGATGTGGGAAGGAGCAAGCAAGGACGCCCTCATCCTGCCAGGGAGTTAAGCTTTGGCGATTGAAGGGAATGACGAGCTAGTTAGTTAGCGAGGTACGGAGTGGGCACGGGGTGGATGGGCGGGTGATGAGGTACCCTTTACTACCTGCTAGGTAGGTACGTATGGTGGTAAGGTTGGCCCCTCCCTCCTCAACACAGGGGCATGGGGGCCCGTCAGCCCGTGCCCTCCATGCTCGCCGCCCGTACTGTAGGTTCAGTTCTCAGTCATCCCCTGCGCCCAGGCCTGCTCGGTGGTGAATGGAAGATCTCGTCCAATAGGGCCGAGCAGCTTCCACCAGTGAGCAATTGCGGGGTCCTTTTCATCCCGGGCGGCGACGAGATGGCATCTGCCATGTACAACTACGAGGTAGCGAGGCTCGTAGGTATATACCTACCTAGTATCAACCTCTGCGCTAGGTATTGGGTGATGGTATACGGGCATCTACACCGGAAAGGCACACTCGCTTTGGTAGCTATTGAACTTGGACGTATGCTATGGATCAAGAGCGCACTTTGAGTTGACCGCATACGCCTTGAACAGCTCATAGCAAAGTGTGGTTATGACCCGGCCTCAGAGCAGCGCTGAAGTCCGTCTCTGGATCCCATGATGGCATCATGGCTTTATTGTGCCCATGGCATGTGTTGGCGTGTGGTCCCGTCGCTTTGTTCATCATCTCTTGAGCCTTGCCATCCAATCGAACGGCCCTCACGGGTGCAGCACCGCTGCAGCTCTTTCAGCTTCCGTCTTTTGTTTACAGGTACATATTCCATCAGACATGCCCGGACTGACTGGTTCGCGACTGGACGGAAAAGTTTGGCGGGTCTGATATCCCTGTTACATGATAGATGTCATTTAATTTGAGGAGTCTAAACTCCCCCGACGCTGCTGTAGCCTCACGGCCATGTCGAAACGCACATGCTGCATGAATCACCCAAAAAAGCACGTGTAATGTACTGGCCCGCCTTGAAAGTTCGGGGCCTAGGTCTGACGTTGCGGATCTGCCGGGGAGCCGGGACTATATAAGTTACATGATATCCACCCTCCCCCGGTCCGCATCATTGCTCGGACCTGGCCACGGCATCCTTCGTCTTCTTGGACTTTTGACAGGTCATAGGGCCCCCACATATTGATGTTGGGCAGCACGTTGCCGGTCCTTGATTTCTTTCCATCTCTTCCTTCTTATTGTCATCTCGTTGGTACGGCTCTTATAACTCGACTCTCCCGCTTACACATCGATCTCGGCCCATCACTAGATTTATATGCACTCACCAATCTCATTGTAAGATTGAAGATGGAGCCAATGCCTGAAAAGGCCAAGGGTAAAGGAAAGGATGTTGGGACGCCGGAGGAATCAGCTGGTGCCGGTGATATAGGCCACAATGGGCAGACCGGGGGCGGGGACGATCTGCTTGCCCGCATCGCCAAGTCAGCAACATCACTGCCTTCAGCTTTATTCTCCAAAGGTAACATGGCCGGCGCAGTTTCGGGACTAGGCAACGGCGAGAAGGGAGGAGGATCACGATCGGCGGCAGCGGTGGCAAGGGCTACGGAAAATCTCGAGCGCGTGGGTGAGAGTTCTGCCCCGCTTCATTCTGCCTCTCATGGCGGCGAGACCATCAGGTCAGCCCAGATTCAGGGACATGTTGCGATGCAAGAGGCTTCTTTCGCCGCCTTTCTTGACACCACCGAGCCTCTTACGGCGCCCGAAGGAGCAGGCGTATTGGAAGGGGCGTGGAATATGAGAGGCAATGTTCCGAGTTCGACAGTACCAGCAACAAACAACCAATGGACTCATTCTTTTCCGGCATCCACTGTCGCCGAACAGGAAGCGCGCGATGGCCAGGAAGTTGTAGCATTGCTCCGGGGTGATCTGGATCTGGATGCGGAGCTCGCAGGGCCGGAGGAGAATACAATATTGCCCGATGACATGGCCAGCTTGCGCAAGGCTTTATTCGGGAACGACGATCTCGGCAGCAGCTCATCACCTATTGCGTGGGATCATGCGCATGCGCTCAACTTCATCCCACTTTCCCTGCTGGGGTTCGACAGTGTTTCGACGGCGCCAAGCACGAGAGATTTGTTGGGTACGGCCGACGTGACTGAGGGCTGGGAGACATGGATTGATCAGTGGTCTCGCGTGTTAACCGGCTATCACGACGAGATTTGGGGTGACCTGGGCGCACTGGTGGAGGAAGCGAAGAAGGAGGTAAAACAGCTAGAAGAAGTCAAGCCGGGCGAAAGACCACCGGAGCCAACAGCTCTCTTGCGGCTTCGCGCCATCCTCGGACATTTGCGGGGAGCATAGCGAGGCTCGGCGGCATCCGGACAATAGTTACGACCCCGTTCAACAGTAGTCCCAGCTCAGCGGCCACGGGCACGTGGATTGTGTGTTTTCGCACGGGCACTGAAATGACTGAAGCTCGGTCGTGTACTCGCCATCTCGGCTGCTGGGAGTTGAAGTAGTCGGCATCACGGAGAAGAACAGCAAGCATCATAACTTGAGGTTCATAAGGGATGCTGCACTCCCGATCGCTGCTGCAAAAACCTCTCGAAGCCTTTTGCTAATTAGCATGGGTGACAGGCAGGTCATGGGTTGTATCATGGACTGTATGTATCTTACACACCTGCTGGGCTACCCCGTGTTGTATGTGCTGTGGTAGCGGTGCTAGATTGCTGAGCTGATGCGGCCAACAAATGACATCACTGAACGTTACACAGGCGGTGGAGGGAGATGGTGAAGCTATCGTCTACATACTGCATTGTAGATCAATAATTCTAGGCACCCTATTACACACACCAGAGAATGAATGCCTCTCAAAAAGGAAGATGTTGTTATCCAATACCTGAGGGCTTACTTCTGGGGCAGACAGTGCACACTCAATGTCATATTTCCACCCTCGTATCATATCTTTGCGCAATCCTTGCTCACTTCAATCGGTGGGAGGAAGGTTAGCTTACACAATCGTATAGCATGTATCAAAGACACAGCATTGATCAACATCGTCCTACTACAATTAAATACTTTTTTTTTTTTTTTTTTTTTTTTTTTTTTCCAAAATGGCAGTGGATACTAACTCGTGGTTTCTTTGACGAAATCTACCCGAGCGATCCCAAACGCGTATGAAGACGCATTGAATGTATTGACGAGATGTAATATGACATGTTTAGTAGTCGGAATGGGCATATTCAGGCGGAAGCAGACTTCGATCATGGAACGCGATGTACATAGGAAAACGCTTGGGGAAGTTGACCCGAGATCTCGAGCTAGCAAACAAGCCAGTAATGAATGGACTGTAGATCCTTTACTTAGTTAGCAGCATGATATTCTTTACGGTTTTCGGTGACGGGAGACGGGATTCCGGCCGGTCTTGCAAGCATCAACAAGCAGCGCGCTTGCTCGCAGCTGAGATGTGCCAGCGCAACCAGCAGTCAGCCCGCCGCGGTGGTGGGCTCGCCAAGTCCTTATCACGCCGTACCAACCACGATTTCCAGCCTCCCGGGTTCCATGAATGAGCAGGGTTGCATCTCGGTTTTGCATATACACAGGTTTCCCACCTGGATGCTTCCGTCTGGAACTCAATTACACTCTTCCTCACAACTTCAGTGAGTTGCTGATGCTGACCGACTTCGTACCTACGGAAGCCTCCGTCATCGAGTAAGAGTCGCAGAGACCGGACGGGCTGACAGCACGCTCATCTCCAGCTCAGGTCTTATTGAGCCCTTTCGAACCACATTCCTCTTACCAACTTCATTTGGTCCAACTTCGGAGCATAGAGACGGGATTTGCCGCCATGGGTAATCAGCAATTGCATTCCCGTTTTGGGACAACATGGCAAGCCTTTGTGCTTTCCTTCCTGGTCTTCTGGTTATCGCAGTCGCCCATCGTCCACGCGCAACAGCCATTCATGCCGGTTGAAACAGCGAGGGCGCTCAGCGGCAGCACACTCGAAGGCAACGTCCTGGAAAAACGGCAGGGATGCATCTCCAACTTCTTCAGCTGCTCGGGAGTAGGAGCTGCTTTCAGCGACGTATGTTGCCAGTACGGCTACACCTGCGCGCTTGATCAGAACAACCAACCGGCTTGCTGTCCAGTAAAGTGTGTAAACGACAATAGTTATATTGTTGTCATAGGAGAAGCTCACTAACACCTCCCACCAGCGCCATCTGCACCGGCACCGCCCCAGCCGGCGTCGCCGCCCCCAGCCCAACCGCGCCGGTTTCCTTCGTCGCCAACCCTTACTTTTCCTTCCCCTACGTCGCCACATACTTCCCGGATGCCGAGCAATGCTCTTCAGCCGTCAGCCAATGCAGCGCCAACTACGTTGCCTGCAGCGACAAGCTGGACGGGCTAGGCGGTCAGTACGGTGTCACCATTGTGGTGCCCGGCGGCGCGGGAACGACCGTGGGCGTTAATGTCGGGACCACGGTCGGGCTTGAGAGTGCTTCTAGGATTTGTAAGTCCCATTCACCTCCTTCCCTGGACCTCGAACACTGTGGTGATGAATCGGACATTTCGCTGACTGTTTTTGTTCATCCTTCCTTGCAGGCAGCAGCTTGTCAAGCGTTGCTTGCCACGGTCTGGAGAACAATATGTGCTCTATGACCGCCACAACCGCCAGCGGCTTCTACTTTGGCACGGGTGCCCCTAACAGGGCATCCTCGCGCAGAGGCTTCACCGGCCTTCTTGTCGCTGCTGGTGTGGTGGCGACGGTGTCGGCTCTTCTCTGATTCTGCGCTCTTTGGAGGGGCGCTAACCCCTAGCAGTATTGCGCAAATCGGTGACGGACACTTGAGTGGAAAGTAACGAATGGAGTGATCAGAAGTGTGAAGGCCGGAATTTCTCCTTCCCTTTGCGAGTGATGATGTCAACGAAGCCATGAAGAATATCTCGAAGCCATAGGATTATTCTGTCTTGATCTGCACGTATGCAATTATGATCAATAACGTTTCGAATATATAAACGATTCGCAAAATTGACGGGGCATGGAGAAGGCTGTTGGAGACATTGATTGAAAACCAAGCAGAAAAGGGTCACAAAAACGAGTGCAGTGAAGTCACGTCAAGACGGAAATTGAGCGCCCAAAATATACATCGCAATGCATGAAGCCAAAGCAAACCCGTCGCACAGAAACAATAAAAAAAAAAAAAACACATCTCTTCATGTACTCTGTCACATAGCAACTTTGTTAGTCGCTTGTATACGCCATCGCTAAACTCTCAGAACCATAAAGCTATATAACCGTTTTTTGATAACCATTTCAGCTGAGAGCGAAAAGGGCAGTGGAAAGCCACAAAAAAAAAAAAAAGGGGGGGGGGGGGGGGGGGGGGGG